AATAAATGGCCCGTTTAGCATGATCATACCGGTCAATACCTGTGACCACTGAGACGGCCGCTCACGTGGTCAGGTCGGATGGTCGACTGTGACGTGTTAAACGTACAATTTCGGAAAAGTTCAGTCTTAACCAGTTTCTCATGGAATACAAATTTCATTAACGATCGAAGCTTGCAGATTTAAAGTCCGACCATCAATCGGAAAAGGGCCAAGAATTACGGACAATCATCCGCGGTGTTGTGATGTCACGCCCCACGGCCGATGTAAGCCGTCTTTAACAACCAGAGGTGCCCCTATGACCGCGGCTGGTATGTACCGTTTATCCTTCCATACATCCAATACTCTCTCCTTTCATCAGGCAAATTAAATTAAGCATGTGCTCTGTGACAAAGGTATGAAACGTTGTGTGTGCGAGATATTATGAAGTGTTATGTAATTTGTTAATTAGAAACGTTTAAATGTGCGAGGTGTGATGAATGTGATGTAACTGTTTAGCTAGGCATTGCATATCGAACATTTTTCTGCCGAGTTGTTTGTTTTTATCGTCAGGTACACGGCTGGCGATCGCCGACGAGAGCCGCTGGGTGTGGACAGATCGCCCTACACGACTGGGAGCCGCGTCGCTCTCGGCTCGGTCAATGTCGCCGTCGGAAAGCCGAAAGAGAGAGGATGTCGTCGTCGCGGTAGCAGAGAAGAGGAGGAAGTAGAAGCCGTCGCGGATGCAGAGAGGTTGTGAAGTGTGTCGCCATGAGGACGCCGCCAAATGGAGGCGTTATAAGCGTCGTCATGAGGACGCCGCAGTAATCGCCGCAAAGTGAGGGCGTCAACGCCAGCACCGCCGTCGATCGAGTGAAGGCGCGACACGAGCGCCGCCCAGCCGCCCCGCCGTCCGCCGCGGTAGAGATGAAGAAAGTAGCAGCAGATGACCAGAAGTAGCAGTAGATGACGCCGTCGCGAAAGTAGCAGCAGATGACCAGAAGTAGCAGCAGATGACGCCGTCGCGGTTGAAGGAAGTGAACAGAAGTAGCAGCAGATGACGTCGTCGCGGTAGAAGGAAGTGAACAGAAGTAGCTGCAGATGACGCCGTCGCGGTAGAAGGAAGTGAACAGAAGTAGCAGCAAATGACGCCGTCGCGGATGAAGGAAGTGAACAGAAGTAGCAGCAGATGATGCCGTCGCGGTAGAAGGAAGTGAACAGAAGTAGCAGCAGATGACGCCGTCGCGGTAGAAGGAAGTGAACAGAAGTAGCAGCAGATGACGCCGTCGCGGTAGAAGGAAGTGACAAAGTAGGGCGTCGCCAGCTGAGGGCGCCGCCATCCGAGGGCGCCGCAATCCGTCGCACCGCCGTCCTCCGCGAGTCTAGAGAATAGCGGTGCCGCCGAGAGAGCGTCGCCAGCTGAGGGCGACGCAAAAGGGCGCCGCCAAACGAGGGCGCCGCCGTCCGAGGGCGCCGCCGCCGGAGCGCCGCGCCGCCGACCGCCGCCCGCCGCGATAGAGAGAGGGAGTCGCCGCGCCGCCGCGAGAGAAGGACGAGAGAGAGGAATGGAGGCGTCGGTCGGAATGTCGGAGGCATCACGCCGTCGTCCGCCGCGCGCCGCAAGGAGAGAGGTGTCGCCGAGAGAGCGCCGCCGCTAGCGCCACCTAGTGGCAGCAGTCGGCGCGACCATGAGAGAGTCACCAGCCAAGGACGCCGCCGCCGGAGTACCGAGCGTCGTCGCCACGGGCGCCGCCTGCCGTCCGCCGCCTGAAGCGAGCGAGAGAGAGCGTCGCTGCTAGCGCCACCAAGTGGCAGCAGACGGCGCGACCAAGAGGGCGCTCGCCGAGAGAGCGTCGCTGCTAGCGCCACCAAGTGGCAGCAGACGGCGCGACCAAGAGGGCGTCACCAGCCGAGGCCGCCGCCGGTGGTGGAAGACCCTACGACTACAGGTGGCGCTGCGGGCGGCCTGCTGCTGGATCAGCCTGGGAGCCGCCAACAGAGGCGGCTCAAGGAAAGGAGCTGCTGCACCCGACCGGGTGCTGCCCCCTGCGGTGGCAGCCAAGCGGTGCCACCCACCGCTGCGCCCCACTATGGCGATCTGATGCTGCAGCCCGGGCTCCGCCGCCCACTGCTGCGGTCTGCTGCTGCAGCCCGGGCTCCTTCGCCCACTGCTGCGGTCCGGGCCTGCCGCCTGCTGCCGGCTGCAGCCCCTCTGCCGGCTACCTGCCCGCTGCCTGCAGCCCGCCTGCTGCCGACGAAGTAGCCCGCCTGCTGCGGACGAAACAGCCCGCCTACTGCGGCCCGAGCCGGCTGCCTGCTGTCTGCTGCCGCCTGCTGCCGGCTGCAGCCCCTCTGCCGGCTACCTGCCCGCTGCCTGCAGCCCGCCTGCTGCCGACGAAGTAGCCCGCCTGCTGCGGACGAAACAGCCCGCCTACTGCGGCCCGAGCCGGCTGCCTGCTGTCTGCTGCCGCCTGCTGCCGGCTGCCTGCCCTCTGCCGGCTGCTTGCCCGCTGCCAGCAGCCCGCCAGCTGCATGCCGCCTGCCTGCTGTCTGCTGCTGCCCGCTGCCGGCTGCCTGCCCGCTGCCGGCTGCTTGCCCGCTGCCAGCAGCCCGCCAGCTGCATGCCGCCTGCCTGCGGTCTGCTGCTGCCCGCTGCCGGCTGCTTGCCCGCTGCCAGCAGCCCGCCTACTGCGGCCCGAACCGGCTGCCTGATGTCTGCTGCCGCCCGCTGCCGGCTGCCTGCCCTCTGCGGGCTGCTTGCCCGCTGCCAGCAGCCCGTCTGCTGCGGCCCGAAGCTGCTGCCGGCTGCCTGCCTGCTGTCTGCTGCTGCTGCTGCTGCCGGCTGCTTGCCCGCTGCCAGCAGCCCGCCTACTGCGGCCCGAAACGGCTGCCTGCTGTCTGCTGCCGCCCGCTGCCGGCGGCCTGCCCTCTGCAGGCTGCTTGCCCGCTGCCAGCAGCGCGCCTGCTGCGGCCCGAAGCTGCCGAGTACCGTCCACTGCCGGCTGCATTGCCTGCCCGCTGCCGGCTGCTTGCCCGCTGCCAGCAGCCCGCCCGCTGCGGCCCGAGGCTGCTGCAGGCTGCCTGCCTGCTGTCTGCTGCTGCCTGCTGCCGGCTGCTTGCCCGCTGCCAGCAGCCCGCCTGCTGCGGCCCGAAGCTGCTGCACCGGCTGCCTGCTGTCTGCTGCTGCCCGCTGCCGGCTGCTTACCCGCTGCCAGCAGCCCGCCTACTGCGGCCCGAACCAGCTGCCTGCTGTCTGCTGCCGCCCGCTGCCGGCTGCCTGCCCTCTGCAGGCTGCTTGCCCGCTGCCAGCAGCCCGCCTGCTGCGGCCCGAAGCTGCTGCCGGCTGCCTGCTGTCTGCTGCTACCCGCTGCCGGCTGCCTGCCCGCTGCCGGCTGCCTGCCCGCTGCCTGCCGGCTGCCGGCTGCTTGCCCGCTGCCAGAAGCCCGCCTGCTGCGGCCCGAAGCTGCTGCACCGGCTGCCTGCTATCTGCTGCCGCCCGCTGCCGCAGAGCAGGGAATGCCGCCCCAGAGGTGGCCGAACGCTGCTACTCTCATGCATCTGAATGTCTGATCTGAGTATATGTTTGATGTCTGTAAACATGTCTAATGTGTGTATGACTTGCTGTTGCTCCGCTTGAAGGCTGCTCCGTATCCCTGCTACTATGTTATCGCGATCTGTGCATTTCGGAACGTCTTAGTCTGTCGATTGTAAGGCTTTACTAAAGACCCCCTCCCCGGAAGTAAGGGGATTTAACCCACCTTGCGGAGAAGGGGGTATTTATGTAAAGCCCGCGCCTGTAGGAATAGGTTTTCCTGGTCGACGGGCGCCGCGTCGGAACGCGAGGCTGGCTTTCACCTCGGGCGGGCTGACCGTTCCGACTCCCGCCTCGAGCTGGGTTATAACGCGTGAGCACCGGCCGATCGGGGCTCTCGTGTGGTGGCTTCGCTCGAGGTAGGTGTCCCGCTGACCCGGAGGATGGGGCTTTGTGCTCACCCCGCCTCCCTAGCTAGGCTAGGAGCAAGGTAAAGTAAATGTGTAGATTGCGCGTGTTAGGGTATGTTAGGCTAATCTGCGCGTTTATTCTGAGGCGACGTAATTTCCCGTAGACGTACATTCCCGAGCAGTCTTGTTTCATTCTTTGGCGTTATACTTGTTTTATGTAAATAATAACGGAGCAGAAATCTTTATCTTGTTTGGCAGAGAGAGACATTCGAGACGAGAGACGAAAGACGGAGATAATGAATGAGTCACGGAGTTTAAACATCAACGTAACGTAAATGTAATAATAACGTAACTTGCAATTAAGACGGTGTAATGCACACCGCAACCCACGAGGGTGCGCGACCCAACCGTGTGTGCCCAAAGGTGATGCATTCCCTGTCCACCGGATGCCAAAGTAAAGTAAAGATAATAGTTGGACCACCACAGCTGGGTGGCAGACGGCTGTTGGAGGATTGCACGGGTGTCGGCGGTAGCGCAGCCGCCGGCATCACGAGTACATTACAATAATATTCTTGCAAAAAATTGTATTGTTGCATCAAAATGATTCTAAATATCAAGATTATCACTGAAAATTTGTCCATACATATTCATATACGTCAAATATTCACTAATCACTATATTTTTGCAACTTCATCAAGTTAGGTTGTCTTTGTAGCGCCATTATTTGGAAAATTTGGTACCTTCTGTTATGCTGCCATATCCTTTCGATAAGGCACTACAAAGTAATAAAAATAAAATATCATTCGTTCACGGACGTATTCATTCGATGCCCTCTCTGACCTTCGGCCTTCGCAGTTCAAGCAATTCGATCGCAGCCGTGCAGGACATGCGAAACGTAAGCAAATATCGGCAACCCTGCTTGCGCCTCCATGGTCCGTGGAAACCGGACGCTAATACCCGGTGGCGTCAGGCAGCGGTGTGTCGCGACTCGTGAAACAGGGCCCAGGTTCCAGTCGGTCCGGTAGACGCATGCCAACCGAGTCGCTCCCCCGATGTCTTAAAATCCACGCTTCAAACACGAATTGGGCGAAGACATTTTATTAACATCGAATTCAAATGATAGTGACGATACCACTGACCACTCGGTGAGGTGATTGAAAAGACCGTCCGATGGGTGGTCGGAGGCGTCTCCATTAGTCCGATCACCGATGGATGGTCGGAAGTGTTTCCATCAGTCCGATGGGTGGTCGGAAGTGTTTCCATCAGTACGATGGAGGCGGTGGCACACCGGCCGGCTCGGTCAGTTGGTGAGGCAGCGGTGAGCCTTGGAGTGGCCTCGACTGCTCGCTGCGCCACTGAAGCCGCTTATGGAGTCGGGTATGGAGCGCGGCACTCGGCGTGAGAGCCCAGCGGCGACGACCCTACTTGCCGCCGAAGAAGGCGTCTGGCCCGCTCAGCGGCCACTTAATGAAACGCTCCGACTGCATGTAGGTCTTGATGGCGGGCAGCGCCTCGAAACGGGCCCTGAACTGCTGTAGGTTCGGCAGCTCGTCCAGCAGGTCCTTCTCCAGCTCCAGCCAGTTGGAGAGCACGTCGTACAGCAGGAAGTCGATGTAGCTGATCTTGTCGCCGAGCAGCCACTGTTTGGAGCCGAGCGAGGCGCTCAGCTGTTTGATGACGGGCGTGACGCGCTCCCTCATGACGGGCCGCTGGGCGCTGAAGCTGGCCTCGTCCCGGCAGCCGTAGCAGAGCCACGCGAACGTCATCCGCACGTCACCCAGCTGGAACGAGCGGCAGAGAGGCGCATAGTGAGCATACAGAAGCTGCAGCGGTCAGGGTGCCGTTAAATATTGGGCCACCACACCACAAGGAGGAGAAAGTAAAGCATTAATTCGTCGTACGAAGAGACGGCATTGTATTATGACGAATCACGAACCATTCGAGGTTTTGAGAAAAGACAGCACATATAATCAGAGAGCCTTTCAGGCTCGGCACTGAACCAGCATCCGATGTCGGGACCGTATCGGGACAAGACGACGCATTTAGCGCTGCAGCCACAGCTACAGATGTACATATACAGCCGTCCGCCGTGTTGAGCGGAGAGTCCGAGACACACCGGGACCCGCCTCCGACCGATGTGCGGCCAGCATCCCCTGACCCCTCCCCTCGCTGCAGCACTCACCACGCCCTCGAGCAAGTCGAGGCGGCGCCACTCCTCCTCTGTGTTGGCGCCGGCCAGGCCGTGCTTCTTGGCCAGGTGATGCAGGATGGCGGCGCTCTGGGTCAGCTTGATGTCGCCGTCCACGTAGAACGGCAGGTTGGGAAACTCGAGTCCATGCGGGTTCTTGGTCTTCTCCTCCTGCCATTTCTCTTTGGCGTTAATCTGCAAATTACAGAGACAAATCACACGTTACTTGCTATGACAGGTGGCGAACAATCAACAATGGATATACCTATCACCGTACCCAAAAAAAAGGATAGAAATGACGTGTTGTGCACGCTTTTTTCTATGATACAAAAAAAAACTTACAGACGATATGCATCAACGCAAAACGCAACCATTCACTATACCTATAACCTACGGGTGTGTTTTTCATCATTTCGTTTAAAAAGTGGGAAGTGACATGTCTGATAGTGACCCGATATAAATATCAGCCGTCGACACTTCGACAGTGAAATTTTAGTCGCAGATTGAGCCAAACGCTCAACCCGAAAGATTATCTGAAGCAGCCCTCTCTCAAATCGTTTTTGTAGGAATATTCCGCGTGAATCAGTCGGAAACCCCCGCAGGGATAAAACACATCATTTCTGGATACGGATTTAATCCCCATTTCCATGCTTCCCTGCGTCGTCTGTTCGTTCCACTAACCCGACCAAAGCCCCTCCCCCGACAGAGCGGCCGCATTCTAAGGACACCGGTTGTCCCTGGGCCCAATTATGGATTCCAGCGGCCACCGCTGTACTGCTTCGCTGCCGCTCGGCTGGCAAGGTGACCCCAGGCCCGGCCCCAGCGATCTGCCACCGCGGGGATCCCTCGTCGGTGCACAACACAACAGACCATTTCCGCTGCGGGGCGAGGGGAGAGGTGAAGGGGAGGGGAGGGTGGACTGGGAAAATACGGCTACTGCCACGGGGACGCAGGATGAGCTCGGCAGGCGTCACTCAGTCATGGTATCGACTAGATGGCCTGCCTCACCCTAATCGTAAGTGCCGTTCCCCGGTTCGAATAGCGCCATGACGTGGCAATAGGCTGTCGTAGATGGATATCGCTTATTTGTTGTCGCATTTGGTAATTACGGGACAGCAACACGATAATGAAAATAAGCGTTGGAGATGCAATAACATGCTAGAGGATCCTGAACTATCAGGTATCGAGTGCAAAGATGGGAAATTTAGGTTCTCAACTGTTCCTGGTTTATAGGGATGGGTCCGCCCGGCAGAACCGTAAACGCGCCGCCGAGCCCGCGGTACCCACCCGGGCACACGGGTGCTACTCACCGCGTCGAAGCGGACATCCTGGTACTCCTCGCCAGTGTACTCGAGGATGAAGCGACTGGCCTGGCCGAGTCCCCTCAGAGTCCAGTAGCCGAAAATGGACGGCATGGCGACAGCTCCTGGCGCTGACTGGGTCGGTCGGGCGGGCGGCTGGCCGGTCGGCTCCGGTCGGACTGGGCCGCGACGCGGCGGCACACCTCCGATCGCTCTCCTGCGCCGAGCCGCTGGCCCCGCCCCCTGACGACGCGCCGGCACTCCAAACGTGCTGACTCACGGGCGGGACGCGCGGCGGCGGCGGTCATCGCACCTCCCTAACGCCAGCACCAAGGCCACGCCGCCTCCCCGGTTTTTGTCCGCGCCGACCGCTAATAAATGATACCGGGATCCAAGCACTGCGAGCCAGCGGGAATACCAATTCAAGCGTCTTCAGCCCTCCCGAGGTTAGCATTCAAACGAAACAAGAATCGCAGCCCGAGTTCACGGCTGTGATTGCAGAATGGCTGACCCAGTCGGGCAATAATGGCAATTGGCAATCACCTTGAAGTTATACATCACTGACACAAATATCGATGACAAAATAGATCCGGGAGGGCCACACTTCTAACGCATAACTCCGAGGGTCGTCGACTTTAATATCTTTGCTAACCATAGCACTAAGCACTTTCTTCACAAGCTTGCCTATGTGCCATAGCTATGTATGTACATACACACGTCAGTACAGCACCCCCGAAACATGTTCCTATTGCGGCAGTTTAACAAGCGCTAGTCTGGTGAACCGCGTAACACGACCGGCTCTCAATTAGAACTTGTTTATGGTTACAAATTCGGTGTCATCTGATCGAATTCGATACATATGTCGATGTAAACGATGTCTAAAGCTCGCCGACCTTGGTACTAGGCGGATATCGGCATCAGCTTGCATCGGCCACACAGAACATTCCGCGGTATGTTAAGCAGCTGCCTGTGCGGCGGGTTCCGCAATGTTTGCACCTCTGTGAGCGATCAGTGACAGTATGGCCAGAGGTGATGGCGTATACCCGCCGTGTCCGGGAGTGCCTAGCGGTGTGCCGAGAGCCATTCTGTCACCGATCCGCCGGGATACCTCCTGTTCGGCGAATGTGTAGTGTCCGCCATTGTGGTCACGGAGTTAGAGTATGATGAGGGATGCTAAGTGAAGATCTCGCGAGTCGCGAGTGTCGATGGCTGCATCAGTGTATCGTGCCGAGCAGCACAAGACGTGTTCGCTTATTCAACGCTGTTACTGTGCGGTCTGCGGAAGTTCTAAATGTTTTCGAACTTTATCCGATCGCTGCCCGCCCTTAAAAGCGCAATGTGTAGAATCCTTCCTTTGCCAACTGTCACCTTCATCTCATTCCAGAGCGCTTGATTTGGCTGTGCCGCCCTTTGCAATAGTGATGCAATATGCTCAAACGTAAGGGTAGATTAGTAAAAGGTATACCTGCTTTATTTCCATCCCAATCTCATTCATACTGGAAAGCATGACAACGAATATCACGGCTTCATTCGCGAAAATACGAAGCCTATGGAAAAAGAACCACAACGCTTCAGGATAGGCAGTGAAGAGGCGACATCCGATATTTCCACACTCACAAACACTTCAATCGGTACACAATGTGCACACATGGCTGGCTGGGGAGATACCCTTTCCGTGAGAGCACGGCGCTTACCGCTCACGGAGTGCTCCCCACACGGACGGGGCTCGCCCACCGTCTGAGCGAGACGTCACTCCTCAGCCGGTGCCAGGGACGGTTCCCCGTCCGACGGTCCCGGCGCGGTCCGTCCGCCCCATCTGTCCGCTCCCGGCGCGTCACGTCTCGGCCAGGAGCCGTTTGTACTCGTCGAGCAGCCAGTCCTCGGTGCGCGGCGCCGCGGCCGCCGTCAGGCACTCGTTCAGGTAGACGGGCTGCAGGCAGGGCAGCCGGCGCTCGGCCAGCTCGCGCCACAGCTCGGCCGTCAGCTGGCGCTTGTCGGCGCGCGCCGGCTCGATGAACACGTGGGTGACGTCCGTGGGCCGGCGGCGCAGCTGGTCCAGGGAGGCGGCGCGGCCGCCGCCGGCCGTCACCAGCCGCTCGAACGCCCGACTGCGCTCCCTGGCCGTCAGCAGCACCGCCACCATCGAGTGGAACGCGCCCGGGATACCTGCCAGACGTCAGGGCATGTCAGGTAACAATATGGAGTGGAATACGCATGGTTGTCTGGAAAAGGTCAGGGCAGGTCACTATCGAAAGCAGCATCCGGAACACGTCAGGTAGGTTTAAAGAGTATGAAGCTATAGTGCAATTGTCGCAATAATCGCTTACCGACTATAATAACCAACAAAAGGCTTAAAAGAAAACAAGAGTCGATTATCGCGAGATGACGAGGATTCTGACACTCAATTACCTTCGTCCTGGATTTTCCGTCGCCACCTGTAGGCGGCGGTGGAGAGTTTGTACTCGGTGGAGTCCTTTGAGAGCCCGGCCGCCCGCAGACACTCCGGGTCTCCCCACTCGAACCCGTCCTCCTGTGGCGGGCAAACGGAGCGATCAGAACAGGTCAGCTCAAGGCCCTAAAAGCTGTGTGCGTTTACTAAACACCAAGGGGCGCCTGCCTCTACGCCGAAGTCAGCAAGGCGTCAGACTTATCCTTTCCGGTTGTTTAAATGGTGATCGGAATATTCTTGCAAGTTCCAGCTGGCAAACGAGTGACTACGCAAGTGAAGACATTCATCACTCCTACTCCGCCTCTCCAAAGCACACTAAGTGTCTCTCACGGTAAGTACAGCGCCCCATCAGCCTGACAAGTGACTCCCCATCCTTCCCTGCGCGGCGCCCGCCAGTCCCGCCCGCCAGTCTCACCTTGAGGAAGCGTCCGGCGCGCTCGCACGCGTCCAGGTAGCCGGGCTGCAGGAGCCAGCGGCCGGAGGCCACGGCGGCCAGGTGTTTTTCGCTGCGGTTGGGCCGCGCCGTCACCAGGTGTGTGGCACTCGGCTCCAGTGTGGCCGAGTCCAGCACGGAGCCGCCCAGACGCTCGGCCAGCGCCGTGTAGCGGCTCCGCTCCGCCGGCTCCAGGCCCGAGAACACCAGCACCGGAGCCACCGGACACTTGGCGGCAGCGGCGGCCGGCGCCGCCGGAACGTTGGGAGACACGTTCTCGGCATCCTGGCGGGCGGCCTCCTCTTGCATGAGATTGTTACGAGCCTGCCGTTCGCGCGGGTCGTCCCAGGTCACTGCCGTTCCCTGCGTGTTGAGCTCCATGGCCTCTGGAACACCATGGTCAGCCCAGGTCACGGCCATGTAATATGCGTTGAGCCCCGTTGCATACGTTGAAACGACATGGGCTGGGAGGAAGGATGACGCATCATAAATACAGAAGCGTAAACGAAACAGCACACTGTTGACTGTTGACATAACCCGAACCTCCAACGCGACAATCAAACAGCTTTGATAAATGGGCAAACATACCACAGTACCGCGAACAAACACCCTTTCGCCTTAGTTTACACAGAGACAGAATAGCCGATCTTGAGAGCCGCCTAGCCTTCTCGGCAGCAGTAGGACGGGACAACGGCACACAGTTCTGACACGCGGAGTGGCCGCGGTTATTGACACCCACTGCCCACTAACTGTGCTGATCATAAGCTTATGTGCTTTGTTTCGTGGTCACAAAAACTTGCTTTTAATTCCCAATAGCGGTCCCGTAGCTCAGTCGGTACAGCGTCAGACTCCACGTGGTGAGAGGACGCGTTTCCGGTCACAACAGTCCGGGTTCGAAGCGCGACGGGCGCTTGACGTTTATGGGCCTCTTGACAGGTATGGTTGCGGTTGATGGCAGGCCGTAGCCAGGCGAAGTCAGTTAGGGGATCGGCCGTGCGCGACTACATGCGCACGTTAAACTTTGGACTCCAAATTCTGCCACAGAACCGGATTTGCGCGATCGGAGGGTAGAGGGCAGGGTCAACGCAACAAGCTTCGCTTCGCAGGCTCTGTCCTTGGAAATCCTTCCATTCAAAAGGTTCGGACTAACCCCGCGTTCGATGTCTCTCGGGCGACGAAGATTCTACGTCGTCCAGCCAATCACGTTCAAGGTCAGTGGGGGGCTTGGCTGCGGTTATGGAACGGGATTGGCCGGACGACGTAGAATATTCCTCGTCCAAGAGAACGCGGGGTAAATTGATAAAAAAGTAAATAGGGCAACATATAATGCTCGTGGGAAGTCACTGAATTGTTTCCTATAATCATTCATTTGTAGCGGAATATGCAGGGCCTAATTATAAATGTGTACAACAAACACTACAAAAAACACATAAATGTACAAACACGATTATCATCAAAGTAATTCAGCACCGATCTTACTATACAACAGCAACGTGTCAAAGACAGCAGAGAAGAGACCGGGTAAGGCTGCTAGCTGGTACGTACTGGATTGATCAAGTCGTTTTCTGATGTGTGTATCAGTTCAAGGACCGAGGCTTTGGTCTGTCAATAAATAGATAAGTTTTTACAACCTGAAGACCCGACGTGGCGGCGAGCACCTCCCGCTATCAGACCTATCAGGACCGGATGGCCATTGACTGAAATCGTCGCCATAGGAATGGAAGCTTGTGGTCCAACCAAGGACAGGCTGTGGCATGATAGCCTAAACGGTGGGCCTACAGCTGCAACTAAATATCCAGCGTAACCTCAATGGGCTAAGTGGTGTTCATTAATAGGCGAGGCTAATGGGTCTTGTCCTTCGTTGATGAATGGCTGGAATAGGTGTTGACCAGGTTGTTTTTAGCTCCTACGGACCGGACACTTGGTACCGCATCCACGATATGCACACCACGGTAGCATGCAGTGCCGATAATGGAAACAGCTCGGAAAGTGCTCTGCCCTTTCCGAGCCGGATCGTGCCGACCGACACGGTCTATCGCGCTGGCGGAGTTGGTGACACGACCAGCCGACCGGCACGAATTACACGGCACAGAGGCCAGACACGATATCAGGTAACCGGACACGGACGGATCGACAGGGGCCAGACACGATATCAGGTCACCGGACACGGCACATGACAGACCGCCGACAGGGAACAGAGCGCCGTGACTGGCGACTAGCGGACTACAGTAGAGCAGACGGTGGAGCCAGGGACCCCCGCCCCGGTAGACGGTGGAGCCAGGGACCCCCTACCCGGCAGAGATTGGGGCCAGGGACATTCTCACAGCGACGGTGGGCCAAGGAACCGCGATGGCGGGCTGGGCAGCAGAACCATACCCTCCCCCTGCCGGTGGGTCATGGACCCCGGCCTCTCCCCGGGCGGTGGGACAGGGAGGAGCAGACGGGGTACTGACGTGGCGCCGACTCGGAGCCGCCCACGGCCGGCGGCGGGTCCAGCAGGCCGGCCGGCATGCGGTGCTCGCCGCTGGCGCCGCTGCCGTCGGCGCTGCGCCGCGACACCAGCCGGTTCAGCTCGGCCAGCTGCCGGCTGACGTCGCCGGCCGCCTCCCCCTCCTCTGTGACGGTGCGGTCGGCGGCCGGCGGCTCGGCGGTCGCGCCGCGGTCCCGGACCGAGCCTGTCGGACAGGGCAGCCGTCATTGGCGTCGGCGGGGACACAACCAACCGGCCACTCACAGACAGTGACTCAGCGCCAAGTGGTGGTTAATGAACGACGAAACGAAGCCAAGTGGCTCAATAAATAGAATTACTGAAAGTCGCGTCCCCTCTGCCTCTCCCCAATAAACAGAATTACTGACAGCGCCACCATCTGCCTCTCCCCAGCCGCCGCTCACCGTTCCCCAGACAGGGACTGCTGCCCAGCTCAGCCGCCGGCGGACGGCCACGTTTGTGCAGCGTCCGAGGCGCCGTGCCCGTCGACGGGCCGGGTTTGGAACTCTTCACGGCAGAGGCAGGGGTACGTCCGGATCCGGCCGCCTCAGACTGAAGCGCCGCCTGGCGGGACGGCAGCAAACTGCATGTCAACACAGTGCGGCTGGGCAGAACACGAACAATGACGTGGAACTCTGCAATAAATCAATCGAAGCTCGTAAGATACAGGGTTTAAACGAAAGCAGACTGAGCCCACAATTATACAACCATGGATGAAAACACTACATTTCCAACCATGTTTACAAGAGGCCATCAACATACTGATAATGATACAATGCTGTTTATATGTCTTCAAATTTCAAGCCATGTTACCGAGTACCTACAGTTCTGAGTGAGAAAAACAAAATGTTAACAATTATTGTCATCAACCGAAATATCGGGTGATTTCACGGTCTTACGTTGACATCTTCCGAGTTGACGACGGGACTGTTTTCAGTGGACGCACTGGGGTCGGCCTGGCTGTCTCTCTGGCTGAAGTTGGTTTTGAAATACTGTACCACCAGCTGGGACATGGGCTGTAAACACAGGCATCGTTAGACGGTGTGCTGCTTAACCAGCACCCCAAAAAAGCGAAATTGTTATCCAATATCATTTCATCCCACATTCGGAAGGTCGTTCCATCGTTCAACCCCATCATCCCATTTTCCTTCCACTTTCTCGTCCCACTAGCTGTCCCATCCTTCCCATTCCCGGAAATCTTACCCCGTCCCATTCCCGATTCCTACCCGTCCCACCCCCGGTTCCTACCCGTCCCATTCCGTCCCACCGCCAGCCCCGGTTCACTCTGTTCCACTCCCCGGCCCCTGTCCCTCCCCTCGCCGTACCGTGCTGACGCGGCGCCGTTTGTTCTCGGGCGTCTCCTCCATGGCGTCCACCCAGCGTTTCCAGGCCTTCCGTGTCGATCTGCTGGGGTTGGAGCCGGCCACCAGCGCTCCGTACGGCGTCTGCGGCGTGGCCATGTCTGCCGTGCCGTCCGCCGCCGCCGCGCGCGCCACCGAGTCGGCCGGCGGCAGCTGCGGCGGCCGCACCGGCGTCAGCTCCACCGGCGGCTGCATGAAGCTGGGCAGGCCGCCGGCCGGGACGGCGGCGGGGGCGGGGGCGGCCGGTGCCGGGGTGTGGGCCGGCGCCGCCGACACGGCGCTGGAAGTCACAGACGCCACCGTCGACTCGGCGCCGCCCTCCACGGCGTACTCGTCGGTGGGCAGCCGGCGGCCGGCGGCGGCGCACGCTCGCAGCCACTCGCGGCTGACGGCCGGCAGGCCCCACTTGCGGGCGGCGGCGTACTTGTGGCCCTCGGCCGCCTGGCACACCAGGTGGGTGGAGGCGCGCGCGTGCTTGGACGGGTTGTCGCGGCGGGCAAACACCTCCTGGAACCTGCGGACGCGGGCGGTATCGGCGTCACACACAGACCATCCGACACGGTCAGATGGTATGGCGAAGACCATCAGACGCCATTATCATGCTGTTTCATATATGCTAAGCAAAACACGACATAGCTAAGCTGAAATCCACACAGATATCCCGTCCCTGGTAAGTCCGTGAGCGTCACGTGCGACACCACTTGCATCTCCATTCCCCTGCATGCCATCTATGTTTCAGCGTCTGCGCCATGACTCACTCTGCGCCCATGCTCTCGCCGAGCAGCGCCAGGTACTGCCGCTCGCGGCCGCTGTAGGAGCTGATGCCCAGCACACAGCCGGTCAGGATGTCGTGCTCGGTGGTGCTGATCGGCCGGTGGAAGTACTCCGGCTCTAGCAGCTGGCAACACAGCGCGCAGACGCATTCATTAGACAGCGGTCGTGCGCGCCGGCGCCCACAGAACTCTGGTCGACCAGCACAGTAACGAAAATAGAGGACAACACAAAGAGATACGCGAACTGTAAAAACATCACGTTAAAACTGGTTACGATCATTACACATTTGTCAGGGACCCAGGAGAAAAAAGGTTGAAGACATTATCAACCATGCCATCTCGCTCAGCCATGCCCGCGAGACCCACCTTATCGGCCTCGACGCAGTGCTGTAGGTAGGCCAGTGTAACCAGAGCGTCGGGTTCGGGGTCCTCTGGCGAGGCCGGGTGGACCAGCGGTACCACGGTGAACCGGGCCGCGGTCGGCTCCGGCACCTGGCGGCCGCCGTGCTCCTCCAGAATGTACACCGCTTCCTGGAGCGACTGGTCGTCCAGGTGGCGGCTCAGGTGGAACCGCAGCCCTGCAACAGTCGCAGTCACAGTCAGTCACATTCAGCCGCCGCAGTCATAGTCAGCCACAGTCTGACTGTGGCTACATACTGAGCCGGTCTGCGTGCCCGCCCGCTGCACCTCCCCCGACCCAACTAGTACCTCCGAATAACGTGCACGTGACCTCCAAACGCCTCCCAACAGGCTCACTATGCCCACCCACCTCCAAACAGAGTCTGCGTGGCCTCGAGCATGGTATCCTCGCCGGCGGCGGTGGTCTCGGCACCCGGCAGCACCGTCTCCTCTCCGGCCGCGTCCGGCTCCGGCTCCGGGCCCGGCTGACCGGCTCCGGAGCCACCCCCGGCCGGCGGCTCGGGCGGCGCCACCCCCGGCGGCAGAAACTCGGCCTCCGGCAGCGGCCGGCCGGCGCGCCAGCTGGCCAGTACCCAGCGCAGGGTGACCAGGTGCGGGCGCCAGGCGGCGGCCGCCGCCGCCTCCGGCACGCCCGCGCCGCCCGCCACCACCACGTGCGTCACAGAGGGCAGCAGCTGGGAGAAGCGCATGGCGCCCGAGGTGTTGAGCAGCCGGCGCAGCTTGTCGTCCCGGCGCGCGTCCAGGCCGATACAGTGCACCTGCGAGTCGGGGAGGACGGTTAGCCAGGGACCTGACACCTCAGACCGATACAGTCCACCTGCGGGATAGGAGGGAGAGCTGTTATCACTGCTCAGCAAAGCGTGCTGAGCTGAGTACGTCCCCACCGACACACACGACCAGGGGCGTAGGCAGGGGGGGGGGGTCACTGAACCCTTGGGCGCCGAAGGCGCCCTTTGCGATTGTGATAGAATCGAATCGAAAAACAATCGCGACTGGATGGCGCCAAAGGCGCCCTCCAAACGCGAATGTGTTTGCAGGGAAAATACAGTTGGAGGGCGCCCTCGGAGGGCGCCATTCCAAATACGCCCTCCAAATACGATTGGAGGGCTCCCTCGGGCGCCCTCCAACCGCATTTGTAGGCTGTAGCTCTCTAAGCGTAGCGGTAGTTGCCTATGTAAGCCTGTTGATCACTGCCCTCCTGCCCACTGGCGCCCTCATTTGATCGGTGTACTCCTACCTATTGGCGCTCTCCTGTAAATAGGCGCCCACTCACCCGAAGGCGCCCACCTGTAGGTCGCCACCGTGCTACACATTGCTGCCCTTCTGCTGCACTGGTCGGCGCCCTCCCACCTATTGCGTCCTCGTGAAATTTTGATGGCCGCCCTCCTCCCTTTTGGCACCCTCTAGTTGAGTGCCACCCTTCTAGACATTGGCGCCCTCCTACCTGTTGGTTCCCTAGTCTCCCCTGTTGAATGTTAATCGGGGCCCCTCTACCTATTGGCGCCATCGTGTTAATCGCCGCCTTCCTAACCACTCGCGCCCTCCTGTTGATCACCGCCCTGCTATCCACTGGTACTTTCCTGTTAAATTGGCGCCCTCCTCACAGGTCCCCTCCTGTTCAATGTCATCCTTTTGGGCAAAAGCACCCTCCTCACCATTGCCATCCTCCTGTTGATCGTCACCCTTCCACTCATTGGCGACTTCCTGTTGATGACCGCCCTACTACCCATTGGCGACCTCTTGTTGATCGCCACCTTTCTATCTATTGGTGTTCTCCTATTCCTTGCCGCCCTCTCACCTGGTGACATCCTCCTGTTGGTTGTTGATCGGGGCCCTCCTACCTATTGGCGCCCACCTGTTGATCGCCGCCCTTCTATCCATTGGCGCCCTCCTGCTGCTCGCCACCCTCCTACCTTTCGGTGCCCTCCTGTCGAAACTCAGGATGTTGATCGGGGCTCTCCTACCTATTAGCGACCTCATGTCGATCGCAGCCCTTCTACCTCAATTGGCGACCTCCGTTGATCGCTGCTCTCCTATAATTTATCTACTCCTTTGGCATGTTTCCCAACTTAGCAGTTCTCTTGCACATATTTGATGTCTTTCCTGTGAAAACTGCCACAAATGAACGTGCATTCAGCATAATGAATGAAGTTTACCAAAACTGTATACGCTCTGGACCATGCATAAAACACGTCTTTGGTCTTAACGGATTGATCTTACTTTATGTGCATCATGACATTTATATGGATCACGATAAGTATTGTCAACAGGTTCGGCCGCAACCGCAGGCACCTGAAGTTTCGGTGATTGAAGCTGGTTATTTAGGTACTCAACACTGTATGCATCTGTGAGAAGGTCATGAGGGCTGGTCGAGGTAATTTGGATAAGCCCGAGGAGGCTAATCGATCTCATGAGGAACAGTACTGTTATGGTTTATCTTTCTGTTGCTGCCGCCTTCTCGTTGTGCGCTTGTGTTTACGCACCTCGCGCTCCGGTATCAATCCGATATGGTGGTCTGGTGTGTATGCCACCGCCAATAAACTTTTCTACATCGTCACTCATGGGCGAAGCTTCCTATACAGTTTGTGTGGCACCGGCCCCACTAAACCTTAGACATTTTTACAGTACAACTTCAAATTTGGTAAAAGAGCGAGAAGAGTTTTGAACAGTGAGCACGTAAAAGATGTGCCTAAAAAGCGGAGGAAAAGGTTGTTTTCAAAAATTTCGCGCGCCTCCGGCGCGCACTTCAACAACACTTCTTTAGTAGGAACTTAGTACCTATGCCAATCACTTGCAACCTTTTCGTCACGTATGAGATTAACCCGCGCCAGGACATTTCTTCAGACATGCGGTTTAAAAAAAAAAAATCCGAAAAAGGTGCCACTACGCTACGAGCTTCCGTTTTTTTTCCTGTTGGGGGAGGCAACTGGGTGAGCGAAAGGGGCACACCTTTTGGTAAATTGCTTTTACACGTGCTCTATAAAATGCAAACCATAGTCGCTAAAAGCAAGGTCATCAGGCAATTATGTCGAGTGACCTAACTTTAAAACAAGTTTTAAGCATAGTCTGAGCGGGTGACTTGACCTTTTGTGACCTGGAGTAAAAACAAAATACACACGATGCGAAATCAATGCAGCATAACCTATACCAAGGTACGCAAAAAAACTGGTGGCGTAGTAAAAAAGGCCTCCCCGTCCGCTGAGCGATCGTTAAGGATTTTAATCTCGCGACCGTATGGCGCCCTCTTTGGGTGAGGTGGCGCCCTCCAAACCCTTGCCCCCCCCCCCTTCGCGATTTTCTAAATACGCCGCTGCATACGAACTCCTGTGGGCCGAGCCTGTGGACCATTAGACGCAGTCAGAGGCAAGCACACTTCCATGCCGGAAGGTGCCATCCGAGTGGTTTTGACAGGTTTTGAATTTTTAATTTTCATTTTCCCCCGTAGATGCCAAACGCAGCTGTCACAAGCTGAAAGATGAATGTCATGCCATACTTGAAGTTGAAACTAGTCTACCTAGCCCACTTCGCAGCGCTCTAGCTTCTATGGCATACAAGAATAACGGTACATTTTGGTGAACTCCCCAAGATGTGTAAGTCACTGTAATTACGTCTAACCAAAGGCAAAATTTTCGACAATGCAGATCCCAATTGGAACCCGCACAACACATACGTCCACAACAAAGGCAAAATGTGAAAAACGAAATATGCAAACGACCACTTGATACCATAGCTGCGACGATTGGTCTGATAACCCCAAGAACTGAAAAGAGCTACGCAGCCGACAGGATTCGAACCTGTGCGGGGAGACCCCATCAGATTTCGAGTCTGACGCCTTAACCACTCGGCCACGACTGCTACGACCACATGGAAGAAAAGCGTTATCGAGGACGGAGGGAGGATCCTCCTAAAACGATGTGTTGAGAGCGCACTCCCCCCCCCCTCCCTCCTAACGCATCAAACATACGTGAAAACCACGATTAGCATTGAGACAGTTTGCTTACCTTGCATCCGTCCAGGAACTCGCCTGCCTTGGCCACCTCCTGCAGGTCGACCCTGTCCAGCTCAGCCAGTTCCTCCTCTGCAGAAAATCAAACATAAATGAGCTTTTGTAATGCATTTCTTACAAAGTACGACAATCAACGACCTGGCTGGTTAGACGAACAACAGGATTCTGTTCTTCAGTATTAGGCTTCAGCCACAAACTATGAAAAAAAAATGAGGCAAACACTCCAGCAAGCACAGCACTACGTGAGTCTACGGTGAAATAACGGCACATTTAGCAATCACCAAACATCAACTACCACCGAGAGCGTGTGTTTGATTAGGCGGGCGGACTCACGGGCGGGCGAGGGCGCCGGTGCCGGCACGGCGAACGACGCCGTCTCGTTCATCAACGTCTCGTTGACGGGGTTCAGCCGACTCTCGTTGGCACCCACTATGGTGCTCATGGTGAGGTCGGCCAGCTCGCCTGCTAAGGGGGCCCAGCCATCAGTCAGCCGTCAGGCGGGCACCAGCAGACAGAAATCAGACCGGTGCTCTTTGTGCCGATGCGATACGGAACTTGCAACAAGCTCCGAATGGGTACTCTTCATGCAGCACATCGTTGGGCAATCACATGCTATGTTACAATGTTTGAGAATTAGGTTTACTAACAAACTAGCACCACCTAATCATCCGCTTACTTTGCCCGAAAAGAATTCAAGTTGGACAAATTTACACAGATATATTACCCTGCATTATCGCTCGCTAACATCGTGTGCGACTTCTCATTTACTTCTTTCAACTGGCAAAGAAAGCAATACAATTTTAAGTCGGTTCTGACAAGCGAGACCTACCGCTCGCCATGGTATGGTTCTTGGTGGGCGTGGAGGAACGCTTGGCCATCTTGTCCGATGTCGTGTACTGCTCCATCGGGAGACAGGAGCCGCGCTCCACGCTGTCATACAGCCACTCGGGAACCACGCACGGAATCTGACGGAGACCGGAGACACTGTCATATTGCCACTCCGGAACCACACACGGTATCTGATGGAGACGGGAGACGATGTCACACGGCAACTCCGGAGTCCGGTACAACACACGGCGACAGCCACTCGGGAATCACGCACGGTATCTGACGGGAATGGTAGATCCACTGCCATACAGCCACTCCAGCATTTGCCAGAAGAAATCACGCTGAAAAGTAAATCCATTCCTAAAACAATGTCTCATAGCTCACCAACCATGGACAACAATAAAGAGCTGAGCTACACATGAAAAGTGAGAATAGTTCTTCTCTCACCTTCCAGCGTCTGGCGAAAGTGACCTTCTCACCCTCGACCGAGGGTGAGATCAGCACATTGGTCTTCTCGCATTCCAGCTGAGTCATGTAGTTGCCGCCTGAAGCAAGACAGGGACAAATGGCGAGAGCTTAGCGATTACCCAGACGATATACCACAAAGTAGGGCCCATGCAGGTAAGCTAAAATGCATTAAAACACTACTGCAACAGTCCAGAATATGTAAGTAGAATGAATCACGCTAGCGTTGTTACCTCCTTGCCAGGTCCGGTCCAGTCCTACCTCTCCTATCGTTCGGTGAAATTCCATCATCCCCGCCCTTCCCTCCAAAAAAAAAAACACGCAGCAGTCGTGAGCACGAGGAACCACACGGCCCACCGGACGTCATCCGACCCCACCCAGAGCACCGAGAGTCCCCACGACGCACCGTTGGTCTCGATGAGCCGCTTGATGGCCTCCTTGTCGCGGCGGCTGATCTGGCTGACACACACGAACAGGCCTTGGAAGGGCGGGCAGGCGAGGTCGGCGAACTGCGGGTCCGTGGCCGAGACGGTCTGCTGCCGGCTGGCCTCCCACACCCGGTCCACCCAGGCGGCGCGCATCACCGGCACGTCGCGCGCCACCGCCACCTGTCGGCGACACCCGGGAACTGAGCTTACGGTGGACACCGGAAAACTGAGCTTACGGCGGACACCGGCAAATTGAGCTTACGGCGGACACCGCCACCTGTCGGCGACACAGAGGAACTGAGCAATAGGGTTGTTCAAAAAAAACGAATTTTGGAAAAGTATATGGGCTCATGGCTCATGTGGTGCGGTATTCTTTTCTGAGACCAATGATGCCCTTTTTTCTGAAAAGTATTAACTGTTAGGGGCTCCTCAAACGGCTTAAAGAGGACCATGCTACGCCCGCCGACCGGCCGGTGTCAATAAGGGCGAGAACTCGACGCCGCGCGCCGGCGGCAGCGCCTTATCGGCACCGCGCGCCACGACATCTGCCGGGCGGCCGGCTGGGCGGTGGGAAGTTATAAGTGCGTGGTCTTATTGCACACGATCGGGGTGAGCTATCCCATGTTTTCGGGGCGGAAAGTTTCAGTGCAGCATCGGTGCGTCTGCCACGGTGGTCTGTGTCGATGGTATAGAAAATAACTCAAGCAGAGCTCAGAAAAGAGTGAGTGATTCTGGGTAGTTGCCTCGAAACAATCCGTTTTAAGAATACAGCTGCCTTCTTAACGTACCGTATCACTTGTTAATTCTTCAAAAAACAAACTCTGAGCAATAACACACCTCTTTGCATTGCTGTTGACAATTTAAGTTAGTTTTTGACGGTGGCTCGCACCCCCAATATGCTGCCGCGCAACTTTATTCCAACGGCGAAACGGCAACTTCGCGAGAATCGAAAATTCACGATATACAGGGTGTCTCAAAAGTTCGCTTACACATTTCCCATGTCAATAAAGCATATAAGAACCGGCCAAAAATCTAAGGTTTTGGTGTCCGTGTGTACACTAGACAAATATGCATGCTTTGACAACTGATTCGGAAGGTTGGAAACCAAACCCTTTGCTGTATCTCCAAAAATATTTGCCCATACCGATTTTCGTCACTCCGTCAGCTGCCGGAGGCTGATAAAAGGTTACCAGCTTTCAAGCTCTTGTAGGGGAATCCCCCGCAGTTTCTGCGTCGGATTTAGGTTTGACGAGCTCCCCGGCAACATCCGCTTCTCCCTGAAAGCCGATAGCTTGCATCGACACCATCCGTGAGTATTTTGTAGGTCTTCTCTGGCGCTAACTCCTTCATGAATGACTGGCGCCGACCTCCCAAGCACCATTTTCCTTTTCAAAACAACCCCATTCCTGAACAAATGGGAAGTGCCAGGGGCAAATTTTTCGCAGCATATCGTAGCAGAATGTGTCGGCCATCTGTTTCTTAGACACATTTTGCAAAATTTGCAAATCCCGAACGCTCGTCATTCCCAATGCCAAGACCTTCGCTGGGTTCCGGAGTGTTTTCCTCAGGAGAGGTTCTGCTTTGTAAATGGCCAAAACCTGTCCATCGTGCGGTTTTGTCCGGATTTTGTGTGTAAAAGAAAGCTATTTGCTCCAGATCTGCCTCTTGAAACTTCGTTAGATAAAACTTTACATTAATTGACACTTTTGGAGGGTCACTTGTCCTCGGCATTGACGATTTTCGCATTATTTTCCCTCAAAATTTAGCGTTATAGATATTATAAACAATTTTAAATGATGTTTTGTCTTTATTTTATGATGACCTGCAATTTTTGAAACTGGGTAACCTCTGTCTGTGAGCTTCTAGTCAGTTTTCAATAGTTAGGACTGCATTTTCAGCTGCTTTCCGGAGCACGAGTCTGCTGCGGTACAAGGGTCGTTCAAAGCGCTGTTAGTCTCGCATGGTTTTGTCCTTCAAAAATTTTAGCCACCGTTTTTATTAGATGACCATCATGTTGTACTCATCCTCGCCGACACTTTGCCATGTGTCATTTCCGACCTAACCATTCCCATTACTCGTGAAGCAGAGAGTTTCTCAGCCGACCCGAGTATGCGACCTCCATTTTCATGCCTGATCCATGGTCAGAGGTGAACCCTTTTTGTGTGCTCATGAAGGGTCGAATGCGCTTGAAAACAATGAAGCTGCTTGAGGAAGGTTGTTACCAATGCCCATGCAAAATTTCGACTGTGAATTTCATGTTGATTCAGAATTATTGACAAAAAAGCATGGCTGGTACCTGTAAGCGAACTTTTGAGACACCCTGTACGTACAGCAGGGGCTGGCAATGCAGTATGCACAAGGACAGAATATGGAGGAGACCCGACAGTCATCGGCCCAAGTTTGGGGGTGGCTTTGACGAGCATAGGCGTCACCAATGTCATTATTCAGATACGTTGATGTCAGATGCTGGGCCAACAGAATCGACGCCAGGTGTAGCTTAGATTAGCGGGTCGAAAGAAAACATAACATGTCTGGGAATGACAGGGTGGCCACCCTGACAGTGTGACGAAGTGAGACATGAGTAGAGACATTCGCCGGAGTACCTACTCATATAAATCAAGCGCCGTTTATCCAGTCCTTCGAGCATAAGCGACGCCGGCAGTCCGGCCAGGGCGGCCGTGCCCACCGATGCCGATCAAGACCCGAATCCAGACCCGGCATAGAACACAGCTCTGCCCTGACGTGACACATTACCCCGGCGTGTCACTCATGACGGATAGACCAATGCAGGAGCCTTGCCAGCTCCTGTTGTACCTACTTCGTTAAATTTTCGATTCTCGCTACGTTGCCGTTTCGTCGTTGGAATAGAGTTACGCGGCAGCATATTGGGGCTGCGAGCCACCGTCCAAAAGCAACTTAAATTGTCAACAGCAATGCAAAGAAGTCTGTTATTTCTCAGAGCTTGCTTTTTGAAGAATTAACAAGTGATACAGTACGTTAAGAAGGCAGCTGTATTCTTGAAACGGATTGTTTCGAGACAAGTACCCGGAATCATTCAGTCTTTTCTGAGCTCTGCTTGAGTTATTTTCTATACCATCGACAAAGACCACCGTGGCAGACGCACCGATGCTGCACTGAAACTTTCCGCCCCGAAAACATGGGATAGTTCACCCCGATCGTGTGCAATAAGACCACGCACTTGTAACTTCCCACCGCCCAGCCGGCCGCCCGGCAGATGTCGTGGCGCGCGGTGCCGATAAGGCGCTGCCGCCGCCGTGCGGCGTCGAATTCTCGCCCTTATTGACACCGGCCGGTCGGCGGGCGTAACATGGTCCTCTTTAAGCCGTTTGAGCAGCGCCTAGCAGTAATACTTTTCGAAAAAAGGGGTATCATTGGACTCAGAAAAGAATACCGCACCACATGAGCCATGAGCCCATATACTTTTCCAAAATTCGTTTTTTTTTAACAACCCTACTGAGCAACGGTCGATACCGCCACCTGTCAGCGACACCGGATAACTGAGCTTACGGCTGACCCCGCCACCTGTCGCCGACACCGGCAAGCTGAGCTTACGGTGGACGCCACCAGCTGTCCGTTATATCGGGAAATTGGTATTATGGGGCATACAGTCATTTGTCGCGAACATCAGCGAGCTGGGATTTACCGAAGCACCAACCCTTCCGATGGCACAGTGAACGCCTGGTTACGACGGACACTGCAGTAACGGTAACACCAGACGAGGTAGCTTTCTCCACCTGACTGACCTGGTACTTGGGGCTGGCCACGACGCCTGCCACTAGGTGGGTGATGCCCTCGTGGAAGTCGGACGAGTAGACGCCCGACATCTGCCGCACCAGCCGCTGCAGACGGTTCTGAAACGGGTGGTCAGAGAGTGTGAGAATTACACCCAATTGAACAGTATGAAGGCAAATAATAGGAAATACAATGACAGTAGGCAGACGAAATCAGAGCTGTGGCTTGTAACCTCGGCTCAGAGCCGGATCTGGTACTAAGAAATCCATTGATTCTGATCACTGACTAAAAGACATCAAACTCAGCTATTAGCAATCAAATATCAACAGCTTCTATTGAAGCATCAGCTTATGGTGAAGCTGAGAACATGCATTTTAAAATCAGGCGGACACAATAAACAACAATTGCAAGTCCATTTCTCACCTTTTCTGTTTTTTGGAATCCAGTTGAAGTGACCACCATGCCTCTCATGGCGGCTGTGTAGAGGGGATAGGGATGCTCTGGCACTGGTTCGCTGCGACTCAGACAGGCCAGCAGGCATGGTGGGCCCAGCACTCTGCTGGACAGCCAACACCATAAACCCAGTCAGTACTGACAAGTGACAACATAGATGTGTTAACACTTGTGTGCTTAGAGCACAATGCCTGCCCGACATGACAGCCACCCTGTCATTAGCTGGCTACTTAACCTACTTACACAATTATACACATACTTCATAACAGTGGAACCATAATGTTCATTCTTGCATTGGTGTCATTTGGTGGCTAATGATGGCTATTACATCCCCTTGTCAAACATTCCAATGGTAGCATTGTCAAACAGATCCCAGCACACAAACACTCACAAACACACATCATACTTGACATATCAAAAGCTGCTGGAGAAGAATGACTGGACAGTAGACAATCAACACTTACACACACTTGAATTTTCCAGATGATAAGTGGTCAAAACCTAGTCCTTCAAATGGGTCACAGATGAACACATCTTGCTTGACTGGTTGCATTTTGAGCACATCTTCTTCTTTTATCCACTGACTTGGAAAACCAACATCCAGACATGCCTGTGGGTCATTTAGAAAATCAGTTAATTCACAGTCAGGATATACTCACATTAAATGTGGCAAAGTGTAAACATGTGTAAAAAGATTTCAGCAAACAGTAAGTACTAAGTACATCATAATCATAAAACCTTACCTGATAGGATGATGCCAACTTTTCACTGCAAGTAGTTTCTGTAGTGTCCTTAGGAAGAACAAAATAGAGATTTACTTGATCCTGGGTTTCTTGAGACAAGAGAGACTCCATTTCTGAAAAAAGAAGACATTGATATTATGTTTTCAAGAAACAAACTAAGAAGTCATTTAGAAATATTGCAAAAAAAAGCACAACATTGTCATCCAGAGCAAGGCTATATAAACCATCCAGAGACAGTTTAAAATTTTAAAATCACTCAAATCAATAATGTAGTTAGCTGGCACGCATTTCTCATTTTTTAATGGTGGAATTGGTGTGTGAACTACAAAAAATGCAAAATGTGAAACTGTTCCTTACACATAAACAAACAAAATTTGTAATCTCAGCCCTGCATTCATGCTTTTTTAACTTTTTTATTGGGTCAATCAAACTATCTTTGGTATGTATGGTAAGGTTAATTTACAATATTTAAATTGGGCAGCCTAGATTAGTTAAGACCAGGTTAGGTCATCTTTTGTTTATTCCATTTTATCTGCTTGAACATACTCGTACAAAAAAAATGCTAGAACAAAGATTTGCCATGGAATTTTTCCAATGCAGTGGACAAACAATGAGGTCATGAAATATCAGCAAGTTCAAGACTCAAGTTGTATTCACATAGGTTGGTGACTGGTAAAACATGTCAGTATGGGAAAACTGTTTATATAACCTTGAGAACACCTATGGCTGGCTCGTACAACTGACCCCTGAATGGCACCTAGCCGCCTACCATTCACATCTTGCAGGCTGGGCATACTGAATGAAAGCTAAATGAAAACTTACGCATTCTGATTCAGCAATCAGCATCAGGTACATATTGATATTATAATTGAAATTTGAGGGCTGTTCACAGGCACCGCACACTGCTGAGTGTGGTGTGCGCAGGAGGCGTGGGGGTAGGGGAGGGGTAGTCAGTGTGACATGTCACACACTACACAGTTACGTGCAGTGGACCGTACACAGCCAATGCTGTGGCCAGTCCCACAGCGGTTGCTGTGTGCGGTGACGGAAGGTTGAAGTAGAGACAGTGGGCGGAGCTTGGAATCTGTGTAACTGTACAGTCCTACTGTAACCGCAGTACCGCACATAGGGCTCGTGAACAGCCCTCAGATTTCCGAAATAACACTACATAGGTCAAGGCAAGGCCCTAAATACAGGTCAAGGTAATTCGCATAACGGAACCACTTACACTATTACTGTCAGGGTCAAAATAAGCTTCACAGACAAAGAACCATTTATTGACGCCTCTATTATGATGCCTTAATTAATAGTGCCAACACCAAGATCCAATGCTATTAATATTTCAATTATAACTTCATCCGACCCCAACAACATTCGGCACAACATTTCAATTTGCATTTGTGGTTACTGGTTACTGGTAAATAGTTCCATTATAATCGTTTCCGAAGTGGTAGAAAGTTGAGATTTGCAGTAACAAAACTATTATGTATATTTTGATGTATTTTTGACCTTGAAAAACATCAAAAAAATATTTTATTGAAAAATTGAAAACTAAATTCCGAAGTTAGCTAACATCATGGGAAAAAGGCTGTTAATAAAAATTATACCACTAGGATTATCACAACTTCTTCATCCAAGGTCCTTGGAATTGCCGCCAATGTGCGTGAAGTTGGCGTCGGATTCGGATTCGTATTCAGCGTCGAGTACCGAATCACTTGAAAACGTCATATCTGGTCAATTCGGGGACGGGGAGCACGAATATGACATTAATTTTGCCCTAGCAGGTATCCCTTATCCCTTAATCGTCCCTTAAACGACGGGGCGCGCCAAAAGTGCCTCAGGGGCTCTTCCGATCACGAAAATAATGGTCCCAGGCGATTCCCCGGGTCGATATCTAGCCGCACCACCACTAACTTCACACGTGCCTCATATCCCTTATCCCTTAATCGTCCCTTAAATGACGGGGCGCGCCAAAAGTGCCTCAGGGGTTCTTCCGATCGCGAAAATAATGGTCCCAGGCAATTCCCCGGGTCGATATCTAGCCGCACCACCACTAACTTCACACGTGCCTCACATCCCTCATCCCTTAATCGTCCCTTAAACGACGGGGCGCGCCAAAAGTGCCTCAGGGGTTCTTCTGATCGCGAAAATAATGGTCCCAGGCGATTCCCCGGGTCGATATCTAGCCGCACCACCACTAACTTCACACGTGCCTCATATCCCTCATCCCTTAATCGTCCCTTAAACGACGGGGCGCGCCAAAAGTGCCTCAGGGGTTCTTCCGATCGCGAAAAGAATGGTCCCAGGCGATTCCCCGGGTCGATATCTAGCCGCACCACCACTAACTTCACACGTGCCTCATATCCCTTATCCCTTAATCGTCCCTTAAATGACGGGGCGCGCCAAAAGTGCCTCAGGGGTTCTTCTGATCGCGAAAATAATGGTCCCAGGCAATTCCCTGGGTCGATATCTAGCCGCACCACCACTAACTTCACACGTGCCTCATATCCCTTATCCCTTAATCGTCCCTTAAATGACGGGGCGCGCCAAAAGTAAATGACGGGGCGCGCCAAAAGTGCCTCAGGGGTTCTTCCGATCGCGAAAAGAATGGTCCCAGGCGATTCCCCGGGTCGATATCTAGCCGCACCACCACTAACTTCACACGTGCCTCACATCCCTCATCCCTTAATCGTCCCTTAAACGACGGGGCGCGCCAAAAGTGCCTCAGGGGTTCTTCTGATCGCGAAAATAATGGTCCCAGGCGATTCCCCGGGTCGATATCTAGCCGCACCACCACTAACTTCACACGTGCCTCATATCCCTCATCCCTTAATCGTCCCTTAAACGACGGGGCGCGCCAAAAGTGCCTCAGGGGTTCTTCCGATCGCGAAAATAATGGTCCCAGGCGATTCCCCGGGTCGATATCTAGCCGCACCACCACTAACTTCACACGTGCCTCATATCCCTTATCCCTTAATCGTCCCTTAAATGACGGGGCGCGCCAAAAGTGCCTCAGGGGTTCTTCTGATCGCGAAAATAATGGTCCCAGGCGATTCCCCGGGTCGATATCTAGCCGCACCACCACTAACTTCACACGTGCCTCATATCCCTTATCCCTTAATCGTCCCTTAAATGACGGGGCGCGCCAAAAGTGCCTCAGGGGTTCTTCCGATCGCGAAAAGAATGGTCCCAGGCGATTCCCCGGGTCGATATCTAGCCGCACCACCACTAACTTCACACGTGCCTCATATCCCTTATCCCTTAATCGTCCCTTAAATGACGGGGCGCGCCAAAAGTGCCTCAGGGGTTCTTCCGATCGCGAAAAGAATGGTCCCAGGCGATTCCCCGGGTCGATATCTAGCCGCACCACCACTAACTTCACACGTGCCTCATATCCCTTATCCCTTAATCGTCCCTTAAATGACGGGGCGCGCCAAAAGTGCCTCAAGGGTTCTTCCGATCGCGAAAAGAATGGTCCCAGGCGATTCCCCGGGTCGATATCTAGCCGCACCACCACTAACTTCACACGTGCCTCATATCCCTTATCCCTTAATCGTCCCTTAAATGACGGGGCGCGCCAAAAGTGCCTCAGGGGTTCTTCCGATCGCGAAAAGAATGGTCCCAGGCGATTCCCCGGGTCGATATCTAGCCGCACCACCACTAACTTCACACGTGCCTCATATCCCTTATCCCTTAATCGTCCCTTAAATGACGGGGCGCGCCAAAAGTGCCTCAGGGGTTCTTCTGATCGCGAAAAGAATGGTCCCAGGCGATTCCCCGGGTCGATATCTAGCCGCACCACCACTAACTTCACACGTGCCTCATATCCCTTATCCCTTAATCGTCCCTTAAATGACGGGGCGCGCCAAAAGTGCCTCAGGGGTTCTTCTGATCGCGAAAATAATGGTCCCAGGCGATTCCCCGGGTCGATATCTAGCCGCACCACCACTAACTTCACACGTGCCTCATATCCCTTATCCCTTAATCGTCCCTTAAATGACGGGGCGCGCCAAAAGTGCCTCAGGGGTTCTTCCGATCGCGAAAAGAATGGTCCCAGGCGATTCCCCGGGTCGATATCTAGCCGCACCACCACTAACTTCACACGTGCCTCATATCCCTTATCCCTTAATCGTCCCTTAAATGACGGGGCGCGCCAAAAGTGCCTCAGGGGTTCTTCCGATCGCGAAAAGAATGGTCCCAGGCGATTCCCCGGGTCGATATCTAGCCGCACCACCACTAACTTCACACGTGCCTCATATCCCTTATCCCTTAATCGTCCCTTAAATGACGGGGCGCGCCAAAAGTGCCTCAGGGGCTCTTCCGATCGCGAAAATAATGGTCCCAGGCGATTCCCCGGGTCGATATCTTGCCGCACCACCACTAACTTCACACGTGCCTCATATCCCTTATCCCTTAATCGTCCCTTAAATGACGGGGCGCGCCAAAAGTGCCTCAGGGGTTCTTCCGATCGCGAAAATAATGGTCCCAGGCAATTCCCCGGGTCGATATCTAGCCGCACCACCACTAACTTCACACGTGCCTCACATCCCTCATCCCTTAATCGTCCCTTAAACGACGGGGCGCGCCAAAAGTGCCTCAGGGGTTCTTCCGATCGCGAAAAGAATGGTCCCAGGCGATTCCCCGGGTCGATATCTAGCCGCACCACCACTAACTTCACACGTGCCTCATATCCCTTATCCCTTAATCGTCCCTTAAATGACGGGGCGCGCCAAAAGTGCCTCAGGGGCTCTTCCGATCGCGAAAATAATGGTCCCAGGCGATTCCCCGGGTCGATATCTTGCCGCACCACCACTAACTTCACACGTGCCTCATATCCCTTATCCCTTAATCGTCCCTTAAATGACGGGGCGCGCCAAAAGTGCCTCAGGGGTTCTTCCGATCGCGAAAATAATGGTCCCAGGCAATTCCCCGGGTCGATATCTAGCCGCACCACCACTAACTTCACACGTGCCTCACATCCCTCATCCCTTAATCGTCCCTTAAACGACGGGGCGCGCCAAAAGTGTCTCAGGGGTTCTTCTGATCGCGAAAATAATGGTCCCAGGCGATTCCCCGGGTCGATATCTAGCCGCACCACCACTAACTTCACACGTGATTAAGGGATAAGGACGATTAAGGGATAAGGGATATGAGGCACGTGTGAAGTTAGTGGTGGTGCGGCAAGATATCGACCCGGGGAATCGCCTGGGACCATTATTTTCGCGATCGGAAGAGCCCCTGAGGCACTTTTGGCGCGCCCCGTCATTTAAGGGACGATTAAGGGATAAGGGATATGAGGCACGTGTGAAGTTAGTGGTGGTGCGGCTAGATATCGACCCGGGGAATCGCCTGGGACCATTATTTTCGCGATCGGAAGAGCCCCTGAGGCACTTTTGGCGCGCCCCGTCATTTAAGGGACGATTAAGGGATAAGGGATATGAGGCACGTGTGAAGTTAGTGGTGGTGCGGCTAGATATCGACCCGGGGAATCGCCTGGGACCATTCTTTTCGCGATCGGAAGAACCCCTGAGGCACTTTTGGCGCGCCCCGTCATTTAAGGGACGATTAAGGGATAAGGGATATGAGGCACGTGTGAAGTTAGTGGTGGTGCGGCTAGATATCGACCCGGGGAATCGCCTGGGACCATTCTTTTCGCGATCGGAAGAACCCCTGAGGCACTTTTGGCGCGCCCCGTCATTTAAGGGACGATTAAGGGATAAGGGATATGAGGCACGTGTGAAGTTAGTGGTGGTGCGGCTAGATATCGACCCGGGGAATCGCCTGGGACCATTCTTTTCGCGATCGGAAGAACCCTTGAGGCACTTTTGGCGCGCCCCGTCATTTAAGGGACGATTAAGGGATAAGGGATATGAGGCACGTGTGAAGTTAGTGGTGGTGCGGCTAGATATCGACCCGGGGAATCGCCTGGGACCATTCTTTTCGCGATCGGAAGAACCCCTGAGGCACTTTTGGCGCGCCCCGTCATTTAAGGGACGATTAAGGGATAAGGGATATGAGGCACGTGTGAAGTTAGTGGTGGTGCGGCTAGATATCGACCCGGGGAATCGCCTGGGACCATTCTTTTCGCGATCGGAAGAACCCCTGAGGCACTTTTGGCGCGCCCCGTCATTTAAGGGACGATTAAGGGATAAGGGATATGAGGCACGTGTGAAGTTAGTGGTGGTGCGGCTAGATATCGACCCGGGGAATCGCCTGGGACCATTATTTTCGCGATCAGAAGAACCCCTGAGGCACTTTTGGCGCGCCCCGTCATTTAAGGGACGATTAAGGGATAAGGGATATGAGGCACGTGTGAAGTTAGTGGTGGTGCGGCTAGATATCGACCCGGGGAATCGCCTGGGACCATTCTTTTCGCGATCGGAAGAACCCCTGAGGCACTTTTGGCGCGCCCCGTCGTTTAAGGGACGATTAAGGGATGAGGGATATGAGGCACGTGTGAAGTTAGTGGTGGTGCGGCTAGATATCGACCCGGGGAATCGCCTGGGACCATTATTTTCGCGATCAGAAGAACCCCTGAGGCACTTTTGGCGCGCCCCGTCGTTTAAGGGACGATTAAGGGATGAGGGATGTGAGGCACGTGTGAAGTTAGTGGTGGTGCGGCTAGATATCGACCCGGGGAATCGCCTGGGACCATTATTTTCGCGATCGGAAGAACCCCTGAGGCACTTTTGGCGCGCCCCGTCATTTACTTTTGGCGCGCCCCGTCATTTAAGGGACGATTAAGGGATAAGGGATATGAGGCACGTGTGAAGTTAGTGGTGGTGCGGCTAGATATCGACCCGGGGAATCGCCTGGGACCATTATTTTCGCGATCAGAAGAACCCCTGAGGCACTTTTGGCGCGCCCCGTCATTTAAGGGACGATTAAGGGATAAGGGATATGAGGCACGTGTGAAGTTAGTGGTGGTGCGGCTAGATATCGACCCGGGGAATCGCCTGGGACCATTATTTTCGCGATCAGAAGAACCCCTGAGGCACTTTTGGCGCGCCCCGTCATTTAAGGGACGATTAAGGGATAAGGGATATGAGGCACGTGTGAAGTTAGTGGTGGTGCGGCTAGATATCGACCCGGGGAATCGCCTGGGACCATTATTTTCGCGATCAGAAGAACCCCTGAGGCACTTTTGGCGCGCCCCGTCATTTAAGGGACGATTAAGGGATAAGGGATATGAGGCACGTGTGAAGTTAGTGGTGGTGCGGCTAGATATCGACCCGGGGAATCGCCTGGGACCATTATTTTCGCGATCGGAAGAACCCCTGAGGCACTTTTGGCGCGCCCCGTCGTTTAAGGGACGATTAAGGGATGAGGGATGTGAGGCACGTGTGAAGTTAGTGGTGGTGCGGCTAGATATCGACCCGGGGAATTGCCTGGGACCATTATTTTCGCGATCGGAAGAACCCCTGAGGCACTTTTGGCGCGCCCCGTCATTTAAGGGACGATTAAGGGATAAGGGATATGAGGCACGTGTGAAGTTAGTGGTGGTGCGGCTAGATATCGACCCGGGGAATCGCCTGGGACCATTATTTTCGTGATCGGAAGAGCCCCTGAGGCACTTTTGGCGCGCCCCGTCGTTTAAGGGACGATTAAGGGATAAGGGATACCTGCTAGGGCAAAATTAATGTCATATTCGTGCTCCCCGTCCCCGAATTGACCAGATATGACGTTTTCAAGTGATTCGGTACTCGACGCTGAATACGAATCCGAATCCGACGCCAACTTCACGCACATTTGCCGCCAAATGTAATACTTGTGGCGCAATTGCTTCATTCCTGCCGCACTTGAAATATGAGAGAGAAAAAAAAAAAACAAGAAACAAATGAAAAAAACGTTTGCGGTGTTCGTTATTAGTTATCTAGTTATCTTAGTTATTACCTAAGGTTATTACGGATTTCAATGCATTTCAATTTTGCCGGTATATAGTGCCTTGATTTTGCCAATGGTCAGTGCCCGCCAGAATTAATGGCGGAATTTTGACACATTGTTCCTCATGAATTGTCAAGTGACCCCATTTTAATCTTGCTTTCATTTTATTTCTTTTCCTGTGGAGTGTGTCGGTAGCCCAATGGTAGCCCCACTTGCATGGTGGGGATTGCTGCGTTAAGAAGCGCAACAATGAGCATTCAGGCACTTTTACCTGAAATTCAGCTTTCCAAAAGCAGAATGAAAAGATGGATTGTACGTTATCTTGTCTTTCCTTATGCTATCAGGTTTTTAGGCTTATGAAGGCATTAGATCTGTGGAAGTGAAGTGCATGTGTGGTGCCATAGGTCTTTGCTGACATGACATTAAAGGAAATAGTTCACTTTTTAACATGGGTTTTGAACTGGAATAGCAGTTCCGTAGCTTGGGCTGAGACGAGCATAAATCAGGAGCTTTTACAGCCCAACGATCACCCTAGGCAAAGATATTCTATTTCTCGTCCCGAAAAAGGTGTCTTGCGTTGAGGATGTGTGGCTTGCATATATTTCCATCCAGTATGAAAAGAGCATGGGTCCCGAAAATTCTTCAGAAAGTAGAGAAATTATCTACGAGAACTCTAGAGAAATTCTCGTACTGATCAATTAGGACATTCAGGGGAACATTATCAGATCGAGCAGATCGCCCAAATGCCGGTGGCTGCGATAATTTATCTGTTTCTGAAGAATTTTCGGGACCCATGCTCTTTTCATACTGGATCGCGTGTGCCTTACAGAAACTGAAAAGTTCTTCCTATATCAAAATATAGAAAATGATCTTTTGTTATAAAAAGGTTTTATTTTCTTTGCTGATTATTTTGAACATAAAAAATCATAAATCCGTTGCAAAAAAATAATTTCGTGAAAGTGAACTATTTCCTTTAATCATACCTGTTCTATGATCATGTCCTTGATTTCCTTGAGAGCTTAAAGAAGATAAGCTGCTTGCTCATCTATTACAGAGCACTTTAAAGCAAGATTCACAAATGACTTTGCATAGGCTGGTTCAAGCAATTTTGCCCATATTGCATCATGTCAATGGTTGTGGAGGTTTGCATGTGTTTGAAATTCCCCCTTTTCCTTTATCAGTCAGTGAAACTGGCAGATTCATAAATTGCCTGAATCCATTGATTTAATCCCTTTGAGGAACTTTTAATCCTATAGTGAACTAAAAACGTATGGATGGTATTTGTTTTTTTATAATTTCCACTTTTTATTACAGTTATGCTATGCCTCACAATGAGCATTCACATGCATTTGAAGAAAAATCATATTTTATTGGCAAAACTATTTAGAAGCAATCATGAATTTTATGAAACCTATATTATGTTCTATGTTATGTTTTAAGCTGTAGGTATAGGTACCATAATGCTTCAAGTTTGCTGATGCCTGACCCTGATACACTTGGGTGATGTGGTAATTATGTCAGTTGTGAAATATAATGATAGTAATTACTAACTATTAATTATGTACCTAATTTTCACTCAAACATGTGGCACTAGTTTTCTAATGACATCAATTTGTCAAATCACTTATCTAACCTTGGTTCCATGGTATGATTGCTTATACCAAACATGTACTTTTGACATGTCATGCTTCGAATCCTGCTGCTCCATCCCCATACATCAGATGTGTTTCCATGTTGCAGGAGATGCTGAGTCCGCACCTGCGCTGAGTGATGGCTGGTCCGATCCCAGCTGCGGCCTTCTACGGTCGCCGGTCGGCCGCGGCGCCGGCGCCCGCTCAGCCGGGGCGCCCGGCGCACACCCTGTGCCGGCCGCCGCGGCCCTCGCTGCTCGGCCCGCCCGCCGCCTGGCAGGTGTTCCGGCAGCAGGCGGCGGCGCTGCAGGCCGCCGCCGCCAGCCCCGGACTCGGGCTCATGGTGTTCGGCTGTGAGGAGAAGGTGCCCGACGGCGGCGGAAGGCGCAGCTACCTCGTCTGCCACCCCAGCGTGTTTTGGCACTGCGACGAACAGAAGAGCCCCGACGAGCGCTGTTCGTATGAAGTGATTCGCCAGGGAGCGTCCTGTAAACTGTACTTTGATCTGGAGTATGACAAGACTCTGAACCCGGACAGAGACGGCGACGCAATGGTGGAAACGCTCATTGAAGTGGTAACAAGTGCCGTAGGATGCCTGTTTGCGGTGAAATGTTCAAGACGTGATATCATTGACATGTGTGCTTCGTCGGAGACGAAATTTAGCAGACATTTGATATTTTGCTGCAAGGGTCTAGTGTTTTGTGACAATGTTACGGTGGGTAATCTAGTCAGAGATATCTGTGATGCTATCAGAGCCTCCGTGAATCGTGGTGAAACAAGTGACCTTCAGCGATTGGGACTTCAGAGATTCGGCAAAGATGAACTGAAATCGCTCATGGTGAACTCCAAGGATGGTAGCAGCATGTTATGTGACGAGGCTGTGTATACGAAGAACCGAAACTTTCGGACATATAAGTCTTCAAAATTTGGAAAGCGGCGACCGCTTGTCAAATCCGCTCATAACACGTACGCTCCAGAAAGCAGAACCGATCGGAAAAATTGTCATGGCTCCGATGAAGAAGCATTCTTCCTGGCGTCTCTGGTATCGTACATTGAGAGCGTCGCCGAGCCTCTGCAGTACGGCGCTCCGCCACCGCGAGAAGGCGCCTCGGTCTGCACCGCCATGTCCGGTATGAAGAGACTCTACCCGTCGAGGGGAGCTCTGACCGCCTCACCGTACCCTGATGTAGACGCGTTCGTGCGCGAGCTCGTCTCTCCTGGCGGCATCCGCTGCTGGAACTACTTCGACACCTCCGAGCTGCTCGTCTACGACATCGTCGGGTTCCGCTTCTGCCGCAACATCGGCCGCTGGCACCGCAGCAACAACATCATCATCGTGGTGAGCCTGCGCGACGCCTGCTTCTACCAGAAGTGCCACGACCCGGCGTGTCGCGCGTTCCGCTCAGACAGCCTGCCGCTGCCGCCCGAGCTGCTCGCCTGGCGGGAGCTGGCCGACGACTGGGAGCCCGATGGCGGCGGCGGCCAGTTCCCCGAGTGTGGTGCCAGTGACGCTGAGATGCTGTCCGCCGCCGCGCTGGCTGAGCCGGCCACCGAGCTCAGCCCGGTGCCGTCTGCCCAGCGGAGAGGCACAGACGGGGGAGCGGACCCCGAGCTCGGACGGACCGGCGAACTGTCCGACGATGAGTTCACATCCGCGCTGGCGGCGGTCGAACCGAGCCAGCCGGACCTGTTTCCGGACTGCGGAGTGGAGGACGGGGAGCTGGCTGCTGGGCCCACCTCAGTGGCACTATCTCAGCACTGCCGTGACGGGCGCGAGCCCAGACTATCGCCGGACGATCCCGCGCCGACCGATGACGACGCCTTCCCAGACTGCGGCATGGGAGACAGCGAGATACTGGCAGAGGTGTCCACGGAGCCCCTGTCGATCCAAGGCGACGGGCCCGGGGATGATCAGTCGACAGAGTCCATGCCGCTCGAGGGTTTCGAGGACGAATGGCTGTGGGACGCCGGGTCGGACCCGTTCCCGGACTGCGGGGTGGCAGACTCCCAGCTGCCGCAGGGACCGTGCAGCGGCACTCGGAGTCACTCAGTGCCGACCGGAACACCCGACCGGGAGCGGGAGCGGCTCCGGTCGGACCGCGGGTCCCAGAGGGGTCCGGACTCGTCCGACGCGTTCCCCGACTGCGGCGTCGGCGACTGGGAGCTGCTCGAGGTGGGTGGGCCGGCCGGCGCCGCCGCCAGTCCCCGCCCCGCCGACACCGCCGACACTGGCACCGACGCGCACACGGCTCCCACCCCGGGCACAGACTCTGACCAGCTGTACCACACGGCACATTCACCCAGCTGCAACTTTGAGGTCTGGGAGTGGGACCAGCTGGCAGAGGCAGATTTACTCGCGTCTGACTGGGAGTTCACCGATGAGTATTAGCTATCCAGCTCTTCTGCCCGACAATGGCTGTTGGGCATCACCTTAAATAGCGAGCTAGGTATTCAGAACCATTCCATTATTAGGATATCCACATTGTTTTACCGGTTCCCTTTTATATTGCGAAATTCCGAGATTCTTATAGATCGAAATTCCGCATTTCATGCGTACACATTGGATATAGATTTCATAAGCGCTACGGTATAGAACCATATATTTTTTAGTTAGTTGATCACTGTTTCCTTGACTCTATGATGTCACGTTATTTTAATCATTTTAGTTATTTATTAGATTATTATCAGCGTGTTTGGTTATTTCTTGTAAACGTGAACGATTATGTTGTTGTGGTTTGCTGAACTCTATTGTTCAATTTCAGTGATCGTTGTCTTCAACAGAAATGTCGGGCTTTCATCGATAGACAGAAAATATATATTGCATACATCGTCAACAGTACACCGCTTATCTATCATAGAATAGTCACATGACGCATACCGTCTGCGCTTTTAGCAGCGCATCTCATAACGCCGTCGGTTCCCGTGTACTCGCCGCACCAATAACGCAATAGCGCTATTACACAATGACGCTCACTTCCACTCTCCGCACTCGCTGGAGGGATAACACGCTCCTCTTACTTCCGTCATCTACTGCAAGTTAACTTAGTCATCACGCACGCAACGCTCTCGTGCACGCCCTCCCACACATATGTAATGATTAATGTACACCGCTCGGCCGGGAGACGAGCGGAATGGTCCACACCGTGCCATGATCACTAGTCACTACCTAAGTCGCGGCGGCCCGGACGCCCAGAGTCGTGTATGGCTCGGAGCTGCCGGGCCCAGTGCGGCGCGCCTGGCGCCCACTCAGTTCTGTCTCGGCTGGCGCCGCTCCGGCGGCCGCGCGCGGCTCTCTGTGGTGCGGGCGGCGGGGACGCGGCTCTGGGCGCGGCGCGGAGCACCGCCTGGTTCCAGCTGACTGGCCGGCGGGCTGTCCTCACTGGAAGCCGAGCTGGTTCCGGTGGCTGTCCACCTCCGGCAGCGCGCGGAACGCGAACGCGCACTGCACCTTACACACGTGGTCGTTGAGGATGTCCTCGGGCGAGTAGCTGTTCGCCAGGTGGAAGCAGTTGTCGATCTTGAGCGACTGACACACCGGCTGTGGAACAAACGGCGAACACACTGGTCAGTCTGTTGTTCAGCATTGAAAGCTTCGGTCAATGGTCACCCAATAACAATCTACTGAGACATCACACGAAAGCTGATCGCTGTTGACAGCACACTGCAGTGCAGACTGCAGTGGGGCGGTGCCGGTACTTACGCCCTCTTTGGTGCAGGTGCACATGACGCAGGGCGAGACGCGCTCCGCCGAGCCGATGTCGATGGTGAGGCTGCCCACCGAGCAGCTCACCCGCTCCTTCCACAGGTCCAGGTCCAGGCTCTTCATGCTGTCGCACTTGACGCGCGGGTTCCTGTAACATGGCGACGGTCATTCTCCGGTCGGGGCTCTCGCAATCGTGGGCACTCGCTACTTATGGATATTTGTCAAGTTTTTTTATTGGCTGTACCTATTTGTGGTAAGTTTCGGATAAGTTTTGCTAGTCCTTTCAAGCTGTTCCTCCCTAACCATGGTGGATGTCACGAACTCATCATCTGCGTGCGACTGGATGGTTCAAGCTGCCAAGTGCAAAGCGCTGGTGTGTGCCTTCCGGAACAGCATACTTTCAGGCGCTCACTACTAACTCCATCTAGCGGCAAATGGGTAAAGTAGTACTGCCTCTGAAAGCGAGGAACTAGTTAGCAGAGCTCGAAACGCATACCCTAGATTCACTGTCAGAGGCGGCGCGGCAGCACTCACAGGAAGGGGTCCGGCAGATCGAACAGCGACCGCTGCACCACGTCCACCTGGTCGCAGTTGTCGCACACCATCTTGGAGAGGGTCGACTTCCGGATCTCGGCCAGCTGGGCCTCGGTGAAGCGCACCAGCGGGTCGTCATTCTCGTACCTGTCGGGAGGAGCATGTCAGGTTATCGGGTGACGAGATATGTCGACTGATTTCCTTAGATACGGTACTGTCAGCCGCGAAATATCGGCAAAAACAAATCCGATAGGTGGTCTCTCGGTCGCTAGTCGTTGAGTGAGAGCTCCTGACATTTCAGTGGGTATAACTATAATCCACACTAAAAGAATGTCAGCTGTATTGCATCCAGCAGCCCAGAAATCTCTGCATCATGAGAGCGCGGAACTGAATGGATTACTCATAAGGATCTGTCGCAGAGGGCGCTGAGCGGCATGGTTCACTCACCAGAACCTGTCGCAGCGTTTGAGCGCGCGGAACTGGATGCCGATGATGCAGCCGAACGTGGGCCCGACGAGTCCTCCGTGCAGCGGCGTCTCGGCCAGGCCGCCCGTGAACAGGTCTGTGACGCGGGAAGTCGGCGTCAGGTCTGGTCAGACACAGCTCGAACGACACGTAACGAGACCTTTACTTCTATTCAGTGAAATTGAAGATATACGCGCCCGGCTACGTCTGAAGTTCGCAACGAGGTTAAATAACAGTGGTATGGTACAAGACTAATCAATGAACAGAAAAGCTCACGATTCAAACCTGAACGCTTACCTATGCGTACAGATGGCCTTTTACATCGAATGACGAGTAATTTTTTCCGTTTCGCAACTTACAGTGCTTGGTATGCAAGTTCAACAAGCTGCAACAAAAACTAATGACGCTCTGGCCTTGAGGTGCAGTTATCTCTACCGGTCAGCGGGCTCACCAATGTCGTTGACGCTGGAGTAGGTCCTGCGCAGCCGCTCCAGGATCGGCGGCGAGATCTCACGGGTCAGGTCGTTGAAGTCGCGCGCGTACGTCAGGTTACACAGTGAGCGGTACTGGTTGTAGGGCGCCAGGCCGTGGTCGCGTCCTGCGCAGAGGGGTCGCATGCCAGACGTCAGACAATGCACATTGGCAATTACACTCCCAGCTCAGACATCGGGACGTGCTTTGGTACGGCTGTGGTGTGGAAAATACAACTCTGCGAATCATTCTACTGAGATAAATGTTTACCAGTATCGTAATTGACAATGTTTATGGATCCGCATCAGCAGAATATCTGAGAAGTTTTCTTCTAGTAAATTGAGGTGAAGACCGGTCCGTACACTTAACCGCGTCAGGGCCATAGAATCGTCTGCTCGAGGTTCGCTACCCATCCGTTTGGCTCACCTCGCTGCAGGTTGAGCGCTACCAGGTCGAGTCCGGAGAAGGGCACCTTTTTGTCCTCGAACAGGTGGTTGGTGACCTCCTCGGTGATGAACTGGTCGAGCGTCTCCATCGAGGTGGTGGCCAGGCCGCGGATCACCTGGTCGATCATGCCCGGCTCGTACAGCGGGTCCGGGTTGAAGAACGTGTCCTTCAGCTGCGAACAGTGTGGGCGGGGCGGGCCTTAGCAGACGACCACAAAGTACAACGTGGAAGGAGAGCTGAGTAACGCGGTTTCCGCAGATCTGAGTGATATGACGCGTGTTTTATGCTTAAGGCACTGTGCATGCACTGAGCACAACCACAAATTTGGTCAATCCACATTGGAAGTACAATAGTGCATAGTGTATGCGTTTACATTGCAACGGCATACTTTCTCTGTGGTCTGGTTTGGATGGTCTCATTTGATAAAGACGCTGTAATCGCGCCACCGCGGATATAACGATACACAGTGGTCTCAGCCTCACGACCTCACGGGGTCTCATACACACCTTGATATCAGGCCCGGTGTGCTGGTAGGCGTTGTCCATGCGGACCAGCTTGGGCTTCAGCAGTGAGTGGCCGAAGCGGAAGGCGGCCGTCGCGAACTCGTTCAGAATGGAGGCGTCGCAGTACGGGTCGTAGCCTGCGGGCGTCGGGAAACGTCAGACGACGTGAGAATCATCTCTGGGCTCTGTTGTTACAGATACTCTGTTGCAGACACGTGCAGAAGGGACTCAGTTTGGTTTCCATACTCTTGTCCTTCACCTCATTTCTAACAGGTCATTTGACTTTTCCATGGCTATTATGATGGACACTCAAAGGAGTGTCGACTGTCGAATCAAGGCGTAAACAATATTTTGCCGATAACAGGCAACTGCGCGCCGCTGACCGACCGCTCCTGTCCAGCTCTCACCGTTGAAGTAGCCCTCGCTGTCGAGGTTGAGGCCGTACAGGTTGATGGCGTTCCAGCCGAGGACGCGCGGCAGGAACTCGTTGTAGGTGATGTGCTGGTTAACGGCCGACAGGATGCGCCGGCCGTTCTGGAACAGCTGCTCGTCGTTCCAGTGCGGGTTGATGCGCTTCAGGTAGTCGACCATGCGGTTGTGCTCGCGCATCAGCAGTGTGTGCATCACCGCCAGGCCCGGCTGCTCGGAGGCGCGCGTGTCGCCTGCGCACGGAGAGGGGTGGTCGGTTAGGCGGGTACTGGTGCAACTTTGCAATGATTGGGCTGGTTTGTGCCATTTAACAAGCTTTTCTGGGAACGTGACAAAAGATGCATGTACTCAATGAATGAAATAAATGTTACGCAAGGCTTCTATTGAAATTCAATCCGCTGAATATGATTCACATTCGCACTATAGGAACTCTGAGCAAATCCGGGCTGATAGAGAAATAGCACCCAGAGTTTTCACGGCTCGGCCCGAGTCACGACGCTCACCTCCGGTGAAGCAGACGCCCGAGCTGGACTTGCACTCCTCGTTATCGTGCGCGGTCTCCTGGGGCAGCAGGTCCTTGCCGCGCGTGGGGTGGCGCGTGGCGTTGAGCCGGCCGCCGATGAACGTGCGCAGCTGGCGCTGCTCGCACTTGTCCGAGCCGTACGTGTGCGACGCGTCCACGTACGCTGTCACCTGGTTCATCTGTTCACGGTAGCCTGAGAGAGGGAGGGACAGCGTCAGCGTTCAACAGCGTCTAAAGTCGGGGATCCAGCGTTCCGGTAGTCTTTTAGGTCTTCAGATAAAACTTTATCTATATTGTAGTGATTGAATGAGTTAGTGGAATGTGTCTCGTTTACCGTATACTTTGAACTAGAATATTGCAGTAAAGAACATAAATCAACTGACATTAAGAATTAACAACCTCCTGAAGTCTTCGGTAACTTACCGAGTGTGAGCTGTCCGGGCATGGAGCGTGTGAAGGGCAGGCAGAAGAGCTGGCCGCTAGTGACGTTCCTCCGCGGGAAGAACGGATCGTTCTCGGGCACCGGGATCGGCAGACACTCGGGGTGGATGGTCAGCGCGGAGTCGCACCGCCGGCAGTCCAGGATACTGACGGATACAGAGAGATCATGTCATCGGAATATTGACCGGCACAGAGACTGAAACACGAAGAGTAGGTATACGCCGGTACAAACAGAGGTAAAGCCCAGGAATAATGGCCGATGTGAACCGAAGGCGACGCTACCGGAAACGGGAAACAAACAAATATGCCTCCGTGGCGCA